TATCTCTATTATTGTTTAAATTCTATCTATGTTTTCTAAGAAATAAGAAGCACCATCGCTGTTATCATTAACTCTATTATGTAACCAAGATAATGTTAAAAAAAATTTCCAGTTTAAGGATTATTTCAGGCATGATTCTAATCATCACATTACATTTGAAGTAATTTTAAAATTACTTGAAAAATCATGAATTAGTCTGCTCGATTATTTGCTCAGTGATTTTGATTTTGAGAAATTTGTATTTATTTTAATTACAGAAAACTTATGCCAAGTAAAAAAGTGTTAATCACACAAAAATAATAATAAAAATAAATATCCATCATGATCTGATTTAATCGAAGGTGAAAAAGGATATGACATAATTCCTACTCCTCAGAATCATGTATAGCATTAGCTGAAACAATCAGATCACTAATATTACATTACAAGACAAGAATGTGAATTTGGTATGTCAATTTTTGAATTTGTGATAAAAGCTATTCAATTTGATTGAAATTTTGAATTTTGAATCCTACAATTATTTATAATCAAATTGAGAATCTCAATTAGCCACTTTTTGATCATTATTTCAAAAATTGAAAGAGTCTTCTACTCAAAAAGTTACGTCGAAGGGGAAACTGTTAATTTTCTTCAAAACTTCTTTTAAAAAGTTGATTTTTTACTGGATTTGAAATAACATTTAGTTTGAATTTTGAATGAAAATTAAATTTCAATTTGCCTAAAAGTTGGCGATGATCGAGGAGGACTTAATCAAAGTCCCTCCGAAAATTGGCGACTACGTCCTCTCGGGGAAGATTGGAAACGGAGCCTTTTCCGAAGTCTACCTTGCCAAGAAACCCACAAGAGCGAACGCCAGCATATTATTGCCGGAGAATTATTTAGGGAAAGAAAATGATAAAATCCAATCCAATTCAAATTCTCCCTCCTTCAATTCAAATTCTCCCTCCATCAATTCAAAAATTGATTCAATTTCAAACAAAGACAAAATACTTAACGATCATTCCATTGAAAAAGATGAAGCCGAAACGACCGTTTACTATGCATGCAAGATCATTCCAATATCCAAAGTTAAAACACAAGATTCCTCAGCAAGGTTTGAAAATGAAATAAGAGTGAATCAGCAACTTCATCATCCAGGAATTGTTGAAATGTATGATCTTTTCAAAGATGATCAAAATTATTATTTATTTATGGAATTTTGTCCAAATGGTGAATTATTTCAGCATATTGTAAATCAAAGACATTTGAGTGAAATTGAAGCAAAACCAATTTTCAGACAAATAATTGAGACAATTATTTACATGCATTCCATGAATGTTTCGCATCGTGACTTAAAACCTGAAAATCTTCTTCTTGATCAATTTGGAAGAGTTAAATTGAGTGATTTTGGATTATCAACATTCATAAAATGCAACCCTGATGGAAATAACCTAGTTAAAACCCCGTGCGGGTCGCCCTGTTATGCATCACCTGAATGTTTGAGTGGGCAGCCCTATGATGGTTTTAAAACTGATATGTGGAGTATTGGTGTGATTCTATACGCAATGGTCACTGGCCACTTGCCGTGGACCAAAAAGAATCAGAAAGAGCTCTTCGAGCAAATAAAAAACGGCGATTATAAAGTTTCGAAAGTATTATCAAATGATGCTCAAGATTTAATTAAGTCTTTACTTTGTGTGAATCCTGATCATCGGTTAAATTCTAAACAAGCATTAACTCATCCTTGGCTAATTGGCACTTATCCGCAATATAGAATTTGTACTTCTGCTTTTTCAACATTGAGTCTTAAAGCTGTAGATTCTTTCTTTGATCATGAATTACCTTATGTTGAGATAACTGAACCGAAAAATATATCATGTATGAATTTAACTATCAGTGAGACATTAAGGGAACTTGGTGTGAAAGAAGGATTCATTTATACACATCATAAGAAAAGAAAGAAAAAAACAATTCGTGTTTATCAATCAAGTTTGGCGACAACAAAAATGAAAATGAGCAATAATCCAATACCTGCATATCAGGCAAGTCCTAGCGCTTGTAGAAATATCAAAACGAAACCCAATGCAAATAAAAGTGTGAAAAAAAATATTAAGCAAAATATGAGTGTGAATGAAAACTTGAATTTAAGTACACCAAAGCCAATCATTCCGAGACCGAAATTAAATAAAGAAACCAACAAAGCATCAGGAAAACCAAGACTAACAAAACCAGCTGTTAGGAAATCATCAGTTCAATAGTTTATTCTTATATATGTTATTGAAAAATATTGTTTTGTAAGGGAAAAAAAAAAAAAAAAAAAAATTAAAGATGATAATTGCAATATATTATGTATTAATAAATATATCTTTCATGCCAATTTTAACACATTACATTTTCTTATTTTTGAGTTAACAGTTAAGAGAAGAAACAACTTATTGTTCAATTTGTTTTATTCGAACTTTCTAGAATTGAATCAATTTCCTGAATATTGAGAAAACAGACTTCACGCATTTCGGTATAAAAATTCTCACATTGACTTCTGATGTATTTTTTGTTACTCACAATTGATTAACAACAATAAACGTTCTCTTCTCAACTCCAACACATTCAATAAGTTCATAAGTGAACGTTAATTAATTCGTTTTTTTATTCAATCCAAACAAAATCAGCAGTTTATGATGAATTTATCTACAGCCTAAGGTGAAATTGAGCATACGTTTAATATAAAATGCCACCAAAACTGCAGCGACTTCAAAATGTGATTGCGCATGAAGGAATCGTTAACTGCGTTTCCCTTGGTCATAAAACATCACAAGTATTTGCCACAGGTGGCGACGATCGATTTTTATTCTTATGGTTAGTCGGAAATAATAATCCCCGCTCAACTTTTGGACCATTTCAATCTTCAATTACGTCGACGAGATTCAGTGATGATGAAGAAAAAATAATCTGCGGAAACAACGGAGGCACCGTGATGTATTTCGACGTGAATGAAAATCGATGTATTTCAAACTGGGCAGCGCACCGATCACGCGTAAATTGTTTGCTTTTTCATCCAACCGATGAAAAAGTGGTAATAAGTTGTGGCTATGATGGAAAAATTAAACTCCTTGCGAAAAATAAAAGAAAACCGATTCATACATTTAATGCGCATGATTCTCCGGTTAATTCAATATCTATCTCGAGTGATGGACGATATATTGCCTCTGGAAGCTCAGATAAAACTGTGAAAATATTTGACATCACTTCACAAAGACAAATTGCCAAATTTACTGGCCATACAGATAGTGTAACAAGTGTGTCTTTTCATCCAACTGAACCTGTTTTAATCAGCTGTTCTGTTGATCGATCAATTCGATTTTTTGATTTAGAATCAATGTCAGCAATTCCTGTTTCGTTTCCGCTTGATTCATCACCGGTTGATCTTGTAACTTTTGTACCTGGAGAGAATATTGCACTGAGCGGGTCTGCTGACTATTTAAAAATTGTTGGCTGGAAACCACCAGAATTTTTTGATCATTTCACTCTTGGATTAGAGAAAGTTCATGATATTTCGATTGTTGATCGAACTGCAACAATTGCATCAACAGCAAATGATCGTGCTCTCATACATAAAATTAAACTTGATCAAATGAATCCATTTTCAAGTATGCCATCAAAACCAACGACTCCAAGATTGTTAAATCTTGATGCAATTAAAAATATTCCACAAAATTCAAGACCAACATCAAAACTCCCTTCACAGCCATCATCTCAAGTCACTTCACAACCACAATCACAAACACCATCAATGCCAAACTCATCAAAGAAAGTGAAAAGATTACTGAGGTCAGCTGAAAATGATAAAAATGATGTTGTAAATGAAAATGAAAATAAAGAATCTCGAGTTTTTAAAGATTTTCGAAGAAGTCGATCAAGCTATATGTCAACAATGAATGAAAAATATTCAAGATTAACACGTATAAAAGATTCCATTAAACAGAGAGGTCTTACACGAACACTTCAAGATTGTGCACAAAGTGGCGATTTAGGTGTAGAAATACTAATGATTATGAGAATGAAACCAAATGCAATAAAACTTGAACATTCTGCGCTTTTGATGCAAATTGCTGTTCGTGTTTTTGATCGAGATTTTGATATTGCTGTAACAACTGTGGAGGCAATGCTTCAAGCTTTTGGAAAACTTGTAAATGCTACAAGACAAATTTCATCAAATGGAGTTGGACATGATGTTGCTCTTGAAGAAAGAAAGAAAAAATGTCAATTATTTATCGAAAGTTTTCGAGAAATTGCGCCAAAATTAAGAACAATTGCTGTTGGAAAGTCAATGACAAGTCAGGCTGCAGCAGAAATACTTGACGAATGGAAAATATTTTTGCGGTAATTCGATAGGAATTATATTCCTTTATTTGTTTGTTTGTATTTTAGTAAATATCTATTTAGATTTTGGTTTTTCGCTTTATATTATTCATTATACTATTTCAGTATTAGAATATACCAACATTTCGTATAAAAACATGTAAATTCACGTTCACAAAATCAAAAGGTTTTTAATTTTTGAACGTCTTCATCTTATATGATATCAAGCATCTATAAACTCTTCCTGAAACACTAATAGACTAAGTCATATTTTTTGATTATCAATAAACTAAAACCATAGTTAATTCGAAAAAAGTGAAATCTAACACAATTTAAAATTTCACATCCTGTGATTTAATAAAAATATCCAAATATAGATTTGTCATTTAAGCAAAATTATTCACATAAACATTTTTTGGCAAATATGAAGTTGTTTTTTCAATGACAATGCTTTAGAAGAAAGCACTAATTTATTTACAAATGATGGATCTAATTACATTATACTAAATATGAAATTAACATGATTACAAAATAGTTAACTATTTTAAACTGTTAAACTTAAACAAAAAGATGCCAAAAAAAAAAAAATCATGATATTATATAAGTTACAGAAAAAAAGATGATTTTTTCTTTTTTAGGAACTAGTTTTTGGTTGTATTCAGAGTTCTGTGGACCGAGTGGTCAAAGTCAGCTGACTTAAAATCAGTTTATCGCGAGTTCGATTCTCGCCAGAACTATTTTTTGAAGTTTTATCATTCAAATATTTGTTTGATTATTTGGTTGATCCAGAACTGAGGAACCATATATCATCATAAAAAGTCTAGAATTTAGAAATTCTAAAAACTTGTAAATTTCCTGAGTGTTAAACACTTGAATGATTAGATCTTTTGATTGTCTCCTTCGTCATCTAATTTTGATAATTAAAAGACATTGATATATATCTAATAATAGATTCAACAAATAATATAAAATCAAAAAAAGACAAAATAATTACGAATCAAAAATAGAACCACCAAAATAAAGTGAAATTAATTCAACAACTTCTTCTTCCATTTCATGATTATTTTCTTTTTCTTTCATACAAATTAAATGACAAGCCTGGTATAAAAAAGATTTCAGTCTCACAGCTTGAAACTTTTCATTTTCGTTTGTCGATTCAAGTTTTGGTTGCAAATCATCCATGATAGATTCTAGTTTTGGTAGAATAGTATCTCTTACGAAATCAGTGCTAATTTCAAATAATCCAGAAACTGCACCATATCTTGCAATTAGTGATTTTTTATAATCGAAAAACAAATTTGTTAATTTTTCTGTGATGATTCCTGTTAACGATGAAAACCTCGACGAAAATTGACGTACAACAGAACCAAGAAGAGTTGCAGCTTCATCACGTATTCTGTATTGTATATCAAGACTGCCATCAGCTAGTACATCATTTGTGAGTGGCGCAAGAACGATAGAAAGAATATGATGAAGAATATTATCGAAATTTAAACTTTCGTTTCTTAATAACGCATTAGTTACACAAAGAAAACGCGTTACATTAATAGGATGACGAATATTAACTGCTACAGCATCCAAAAGAATTCTGATATAATAAGGAAGTAATTGGTGAAGTGATCCATTCGTACTTAACTCTTCAAGAACATCATCAATGTTTTCACTGTTTCGAATTTTGATGAAAGTTGAATAAAATAGTTTTTGGAGTTCTTCCGGAACTAAAACTTTTGGATCAGTTTGTCTTCCAGGAACTTCCTTCAAATTTGTGAGCTTAAATGGCCAGTGAATCTCATCAGGTGTAACTGTATTTGTAGAATCATCTGTTTGGTTATTAGATATGCAGGGCTGAATTCCGTTGATTGCCAGCCAATGAAAATCGAATGATGTATCAAATGGATATTTTGCGAGTTTTGGTCGTTCCATTTGAGAAAGATTTATCATTTTTTCTTTTCTGGCGAAAATTTCGTAATTTTGGTCGTTTCCAATTGGAATAAAATCTGATATTTCGTTTTTCGAATATCCATACAAAGGCTCCATATTTTTCGATCGTAAGCTCTCGTTGATGTCATTCACTGTTAATTTGTTTTTATGTTTCGCTTTATTGATTCGATTTGCCAAGGCAACAATATTTTTGATGAATAATTTGGCATCGCGGGTCAGAAAAGAATAACCAGATGAAATATTTAAGTCCAATGATTGGCTTATTGCGTGAATGGTTATCTTCTCGGCACTATCATCCATTAAAAAAGCTTGTTTTCCAAAATATTTGCTGAACAAACAATTTTAGCAAATCTTTTGCAAAATAGTAATGAACTTTTTAAGATCATATCTAGTCATTATTTGAAAGGTATCTTCTCAAAAATTGTCGAAAAGTTGAATAAAAAGGCGAAAATAAGGTGAATTAAAGGTGAATTAAAGTTATTTTTCAAAATTTTGATCGAAATAAAAATGTTTTTATCTCATTTTGATCCAATAGAAAAGATGTTGCCTGATTTTAATGATCGTGAAGAATGCACTCCTATTTGTCTTCATATTTTTAAACCGCAATCTTTTTTCATTAAGCAAGATATTCGAAATATCACAGAAGATGAAGAGTATCAATCAGTTCATAACATTATATCTTTTGGAAATGATGTTGGTGCATTCATAGCACTTGCTGAGATCATAAAACAAACAAAATTTGAATCAGTGAAAGAATCAATAATTGAATTTTTCGCAAATTGTTTAAGTGATATTAAACATGCGGTTCCAAAGAACCTTCCATCTCCAAGACGTTTATCAGCATCAGAGTCATTAAAATCATCAATTTCGTTTGAATCACATTTGTTTACAGCTGCCACTGATGATTTTGAAATTATTACAAATGAAGAAGAAGTGCCCTATGATGATAAAATAAGAGGGCTCCTTGAAAAGGTTCCAACTATTTACAAACACTCTTCTGAAGACCAAGCGAAAATTTTCAATAAATTATTAAACCAAATTTTGATAGCTTTTGCTCCATCAATCAACGCTTATAAAAAAGGAATCTCTCACTATGCGTATTTCAAATTAACAATTGATTGTCTTATAAAATTAATAATTTTGGCAAAAAGGGAAATAATTCCAATTTCGCGAATTTCTCATTTACTTCAAGCTTTTTTTGTTTCATCTGTTTCTTTAGTTTCTAGCTTACATTCACTTTTACGAATTGTTAGATCACCACAAACGTTTATTTCACCTTATTTTGGATCGATTTTTCGATTTGTTGCAAAAGGAATTCCGTTTTTAACACAAAATGATGTAATTATTGCACAAAACTTTTGGATTTCAATTGTAATGTGTTGGGAAGATGTTGTTTTTGCGATGCCTGCATTCACTAAAGATCTCAAAGTCATATCTCGTTATATTCCGCCTTTAATTTCTATTGCTGGAAGTTCTAACTATTCGACAGCTGCAATTACGATTGATAATTTAAGCAAAATTATATCTTTTAATCGAACTTCTGAACAAATTGGAATTTCTGTTAATAAATACTTCGACCAAATTCCTGCAAAGTCAGTTAGTGTTTTACCTCAAACTGATGCAATTTTGCTTTTATCAATAGGCGCGCTTGAAAAAATTAGGGCTAAAGCTGGTGATTTTGCTACTTTTTTTGAATATTTTAAAGCTGATTATTACACTGAATTTACCAATTGTTTAGAAAGTATGATTACACCATTTTTCACTGCTTTTATGAAGCATGTACAATATCGCTCACCAGAAGATCAAAAAGACTGTTTTGATCCACTTGTTCGAAGATGTGTTCAAAATTACGTTGGAACTAATCAAAAATTCGCTTTAATTATTGATAAAATTTCTGGAGAACTTTTTAGTAAATATAACTTGGCTTTATTTTCACCTGAAACTATTGCAGCTTTTATTGAATCAATTAAAAGCATTGAAAAACATAATCCTTCAAGATTATCAAACTTTAATTTAATTTTTAGACAAATGCTAACAGCTTGTTTTTCTATTGCTCCTGCTTTTATGTTTGCTTTACTTCATAATTACTTTTTAAGTCAAATTAAAAATAAAGAAAATAAAATGTCTTCTGTTTATGAAATTGTGTCATTAATGCCCTCAGTTCTTCGTGACAAGTTTTTGACTGAAATGTTTACGATTTCTACTATATATGGAGGTGCAAACAAATTAACTATTGATCAAATCATGACGATGGAAAATCCTGATGATAGAATTGGTTATCTAGCCTTTTCTGTAACTAAAGAAGAAGATATTCCTCTTTTAATCATGAAAGAAGCTTCACACTATGCACTTATTGCGTCTTGGTCTAAAGTAATGCTATGCTCAACACCCGAATTTTCAAATGTGTTTATTATGAATCTCATTTACACATTTTGTGACACAGTGAAACTAAATCAAGGACTTTTTAGTACAACTTATGATAGCGTTATGGTTAATTTTCATAAATCTGTTTTAGATTTCTTACAACAATTAGTTTCAATTTTTTCACATACTAAAATAATTATTGAAGTGTTGCCAGCAATGAAAGATTCAATACTAAATGGATCACCAGCTGCAATTTCTGGACTTTTAAGATTGGCACTTTTCCTTTCTACACTTTTAACGAAATGCTTCCTATCTTCTTCACTTATGGAAATCGCTTTATCTAAATTTATTTTAGTGTTAACCAAAATTATATCATTGAATACAGCACCCACAATTTTTAGGTATCTAAAATGCGACGATCTTTTTGTATTTATGAAACTTTTATCTACATTTCCATCAATTAATCAATTTGTGGTGTATAATAAAATGAGCATACGATCTAAAGATAGAGATCTTCTTGAAGCTTTTTCAAATCATCAAAAAAGAAATGCAATCCTTGGAAAAATGTCACCATCTTTAATTAAAAAGTTACTTGATTTAATAGGCCACATTCTTGCGCAGACATTTTCCTTGTTTAATTCATATATATCATCACAAAAAAGTCCTTCAAATGAAATTACAACTATTGTAACTGATCACCTGATAAAACCACCAAATTACAGCTTACAAGAATTAATTCCTATTTTTTGGAAAACTTGTCCTTCTTCAATTCCGGCAATCGGAGAAACTTTGAATATTTCAATGGATGAATTCATTAAATTAATTTCTGTTTATTTTAAACAATTCCCTTATCCTCTCGCATTTGAATCGCACTTAGCAACATTCTTTGCAAAAGTAAAAATCGAAGACTTACATCTTTGTGAACTTCTTTCACCTGCGCAAGCAATTGTTTTGCTTACACCTGAAGTTTTGAACCATCCAACTGCCTCTCATTATTTAGTGAGATGTCTTCGAAGTTTTGAACTTGACGAAATTTTGCAATACATTCCTCAATTATTGCAGTCGATTCGATTCGACCATAAAAGAATATTAAGAAAGTTTCTGAGAGAATATTCTAAGAAATCTTATATTTTCCAACATTACTTTTTATGGAGCATGCAGCACCAAAAATGTTTCATTTCATATGCAAATGATCCACTTCCCAATCTTCTAGTGATGCTTGAAGGAAAAATTATGCAAGAAATGACAGAAGAAGAGCACAATCATTATGATCATGAATTTGGCTTAATTAATTCAATTGATCATGTTAGTCAAGTTTTGTTGCCTCTGCCACCTGAGGAACGAAAAGGGAACTTGGCTACTGAACTAGAAAAAATCACAATTCCTGATGATTTATATGTTCCTTCAAATCCAAACTATAAAATTTTAGATA